TTCGTTGGTGTAGGTGTTGACTTCAACTTGGTCTTTAAAAGCCTTAGGCTTTCGAGTCTTTGCACAAAATACAGAAGGTATGTTCATGACCACATCAGATGCTCTTTCACGTATTTGCATACTTTCAAGTCACGCGAGTTGAGCATAAAACATGCATTTGCTCCATTGACTAACAAGAACATTAGCAGTGACGCTACGGTAAGCTTGACTTTCAGACCTCTCCGTTAACTCTAGTGACTACGCTGTCAAAGAAGTCCAAAGCAGTGGTCCCTTTTCCGTAGTTCATCACTTAACGGTCTGATCTCGAGTTTCGGATAATGCATTTTTGATTTTGACCATCACCTAATACTTCCTCTGATATTCACGTCAGTTGAGCCATAAGGAGCGCTGGAAAGCAAGATGATTACACGCATTGAATAGGCAGCGATTAATACCCAACCAATGCTGCCAGCAAGATGTCGCGATCCCACTAAAATGGGGATCATGTAGAGTCGTTTATTTTTCCAAACATTAATATTTATCAAACGGACGCACAAAATCACCTTTTTAGTTCCAAAACCGCTTTCAATGTGATTCCCTCCCGACGTTTCCGGTGCAGTTTTTGGGATATACGATTTTTTCTCCACCTGCTGCACACTGCAAATCGCCACCAGCGCAGTGCCTTCGCATTCAGCCACTTTGATCAAACAGGACTGCAACCCATGCTGCACGGGCAAGCAGCCATGGCAACACCAACAACATTTTTGTCCATTTTAACCGTTTCGTTGGTCGACCACGCCATTGGGCTTGATTCTTACTTACAGAAATGAAATTGTCGGGCATAACTGAGTAGTTTTAGGCAGCATCACTTAAATGCCAGCTCCCCATGAGGATAGCCGCATGGCCTAGCAGATGTGAAGAATTAACACAATGCTTGACCTTTCAAAATGCTCTTCGTAAATTTCGCGATTTGAAAAATATGTTTACCTATTTCATTCACTCAACCCATCATTTCATTTTGTTAAAATATTTTGCAAGAATTTTGAGGATCCGAAGATGCCTAGTAGGAAACTATAGCGATGTAGGTCTCATTTTAGAAAACAGATACAATTCTTGCCTCCAAATGATGCATTAAGTGGGACCTGGGAAAAAAGGTAGAGAGGATAGGAAGGTATCAATATATGTATTAGTGTACTGGAAGATAGGGAGCAATGAAGACGTGTGAAAACGGACGATACTAAATGTTGGGAGGAGGAGGAGGAGGAGGAGGGTGGTGGTGGTTAGGTCCGATCATTCATTTGTTTATACAACTGCAACTGATTAGAGAAGATGCGGTGAATTTGTGCACGTAGGGTCGCCAGTCCTCAGCACTTCCAAGGCGACTTCACAGCCAGGAATCGGCGCCTGTCGGTCCACGATAACGTACAAAGGGGTCGGTTGTCCATAGTATGTATAGGCTTATGCTAGAGTGTGCATGCCGGTGTGAGTGTG